GTAGACAGATATCGGCGTCGGCGAGGGGATCCTTACGGCCGTCAGAGGAGAAGCGGCTTTCTGCCTTAAGGGAAGGATTTATTTCCCCCGCCTGATATTAGAGTTGCAGGTAATTCGGGCAGAACTTACCAGCGCAAATTGATTTCAGGAGTTTTCCCAGAATTAATGTTCACTGACTGAGGATATCATGATTATGGTCATAAATCTTCTTCTTCTTTTTTTTTCTTAAAGCATAAAACAAGAATGGGGTGATGTAGATGCTGACGCTGCTGCGTCCCTCGACGCCGGTGCTGTTACGCTCGCCCTGCCGCTTGCGCCCTTCCTAGGGCCTCGTCCCGCGGGGTGCTGCGCGCTTCAGCCCCCCTTCAGCGGAGCACGTGCGTCTCTCCAGGCGTTCAGGCAAACCTGTTGACTCGTATTCTTGAGGTTAAAGGTCAATTTAATAGTAATAGGCCTTCCAAAATGCTTCCAACTGCTGCTTCTGCAGACCCTGCTGTTTAAAGCCGCAGAGAGCCTGTTTGCAGTGGCTGCAGGGGGAGGGAGAGGGAGAAAACTCATCGTTTTCTGTCCTTAAAAACGAGGAGTCTGACTCTCAGGTAGCACTGAGGTCACCTGTAGTTTTCTGGCAACGTACAGGAAAGGGATGGCAATAAGGCTTAGGCCCAGCAGCCCTTCCTGACTCACGCATTTGTCTGAGATGCATCCCACCACATCACGTTACACTGCAATAAGTTGCTGCATGAAAGTTATATATACTAATGCAATAATACTCCCTTGCCCACGTTTTTGTGAAGTTTCTAACTGTATCCACTATTTGTGGGTGTTGGTCAAAGAAACCCTATCTCTGTACAACTGTAAGTGCTTGCTCCGTTGGCAATATCACATGCTGACCGTCAGATCTCAGTGGGTGTAAATCAGCTTAGGTGCTGCAGTAGCGGTAAGCCCAACCAGCTTGTACCACCTGCAGATTTAGTCCCAAGTAAAGTGGGTTCAGAAGGTCCTTTTCATGCGGTAGTCTCACAGACTGCCATATAAGATGCCACGGAAGTTTTTCCCTCCACGTTGTTACTACACCTTAAAAGTAGTCTTTTGTTTTGAGAACCTTCAATGTTCTTAGATTATCTGTGTTTATACAGTCTCTGTGGTCCCAGGATTCCTGTGTATTTAGCTGGATGATACACAAATAGTCTTATTTGTCAGTTAAATCCTCCATCTCTCCTATCCATCGTTTGAGAGACTCATCTCATTTCTATATATTTCTTTATATAATCTCCCCAAGGAATTTAGCTATGCCTCCCCAATAATCTTTTAAAGATCTCTAATCCTAGCCTCACAATATTCAAACACTTCAAATACATTAAACACATCCACATGTAAAATATCTGCTTCTATGAGCATCCAGCCAAAGCTTACGCTGCACAGCTCGTACAAATGCTGTAATGACCATATTATTTTGATTACAAAAGAAAGCTCTGCTTTTTCAGTCATGGTATGCCTAGCTATCATTTGCTGCTGCATGCCATGTTGAGGCTGATACTTAGCAACTGATGGGGAAAATGAATTGCTAACATCTGTTTTATCATTTTCTGATGAATGAAAGACCTTATTTGTGCCTGGTTCATTCAAAGCAAAGAAATATACACAGACTGATGCCATCATGCATTACTTTTCTAGCAAACAGTACCCTTCAAGCTTACTAAATAATTTTAGAGATTTTATTTAAAAAAAGAAATATCATGTTTGCTGCCATGGAGACAGCCCTGTGGTCCAGCTCAGCAGATCACAACCTTTGCATCACACGACTATTGTGTCACTGGTCATTATATTGCACATACTGAGGCATCTATCAGAAAAACTAAGATTACTACTTTTCTTTCCCATTTCTCGTATGCTAGAGCCATGTGACTAGTGGGTTTGTTTGGTTCACAACTGCAATAACAAATAAAAATTCCATCTTTAACACTTAGGAAACTGTCTATTTTTAGTTTGGTTTCCTATGGAAACAAGGCGTCTGTGATCAGGCTGTCTCTGTGCATGTATCTGTCCTTGTGTACCCCTTAATAATTTTTGAATCTAGTGGCCTTTTCCAACTAACTGTGACAAAGTGATGGAAGTTGCAAGGTAACTGACTTCTAACAGATTTAATGGAATAGGTGGCCAGAGAGAGGAACAAAAAAATTCTAGGTTGCCCGGCTGAGGGAAGGCTGCAGCATGAACTCCCATCTTATTAGGCTCCAGAGAATCTGGTGAGAGCCACAGTAAATAACACAACTATAGAGAAAAGCTTCTGTCCTAGGTCACACCTTCTATGCATCTCAAATTCATACGAAACCAGACTTAATTCATAACATTGCTCTCGCAACTGTTTGTTTAAGACTTGTAGAGGGTCCCCTTCATTCCTCAAAGGATTAGAGTTTGTGCTACCCTCTCCCCATATCCCAGCAGAGAATCTAGTCACAGATGTTTTTGAATTTGACCTGTCACTTAGGTCAGAGGATCAGGATCATGTTATACTAGCCTATGAAATTAAAGTTTCCCAGATTGTGTAGACTGCCTCAGAAAGCTTCAGGGAATGCCTGGAAGCAGGATATCTTGGGGAATTAACCAGTGAGCCCTGCAAGGAGAAGAAAATAATGTAGGACTAGGCTATCCTTTTAAAGCTGGCAATTAAGAAATGTGAACATATTAAGAAATAAATATGAAGGATGGGTGGTGTTTCACTGACACAAGAGTGTGGTTTTGGTCAGTGGGAGAACTAAGTGGACAAATGGAAGCAGTAGCAAGGCATGTTGCTGAATAGACAGTGGTAGGAAACCGTTCCAACTCAAATTATCTTGTTCCTTTTTTCTAGAATCCATCTCTTGCTATAGAATCCATCTCTTCAATCTTCTCAGTATTGCCCAGAGCTGGCAAAGAAGAAGCTGAAAGAAGGGTCCTTTCAGGTAAGGAAACATGAAGAGAGGGTAATGTAGTAAAAGGTACATACGCAAAGTTTACCTATACTGCAAATACAGATACCATAGTTGATTTTGTGCAGGCTAACTCCAGGACTGGAATCACTGAAGAAGAAGGAACAGACAATACATTCCTATGGCTCTGTCTAAGCTGGATCTGAATTTATAGAGCTATACTTTTGAAATTTTGCATCCAATAAGCTCTATCCCTGAGGATGAGCTGCTTCTGGACCAGTTTTGTGTGTGCAACCTGAAGGGATTTACTGGCTCAAGCTGGTGTTTGTTTGGGGCCTTTTGCCCTGTGCCCTGTTGAGCAATAAAAATATACTCATGTTATAAGCGGAGTAGCTGTGACTGTGGATGGTGTAGGCTGTGTTACTAGGGAGCTAGCAAGGCTAGCAAACTGGGGAGAACTGCAACTTCTACTTTCCCTGGAGACCAAATGTTTTTCAAAGCCTTCCAAGGTCTGCAGAGAAAGCTCAGCTGGTTTGTAGCTCTTTTCCGCTTTCTAGGCTCATAAATACTCAATATCCTGGGAAACAATAAGCCATTTAATGTGGAAATCCTCTTCCTAACAAGAAAATGTCCTGACTGTCTGATAGCTTCCTTGCCTCTCTCTTGACTCTGAGTAGAGCAATGATGCCTTTCCACTGCCCTGCATTTGCTTCAAGGACACAAGTTCACTGAGGATCTCTCTTAGAATGTGTCTTTGTTAAAGAATTGCGCAAAAATTGAGGATAAAAATAACACATGAATCTGAGGAACCTAAAGGGCGTTGTGCAGATATGAGGCCTTGAAATTTAAGAATTACTTGCTTAGAGAAAGAAAAACATCTATCTTTTTAAGATGTTGGTATGAAACACTCAATGGCAGTCACAGAACCTCTGGATATGAAAGTCAGTGTTCTCCTGTGCTCTGTCTACATGTACGCTTTCCCAACTATATGGTAGCTCAGCGTTCCCTGAAGTTGGTGAGGGGCTGGAGAGGAGTGGAAGTGAATGCATGTATGACTGAGGGAAAAAAATGAAATGGAATGACTGGAGGCAAAGTGGAATTTAAAAGACCTGTCAGATGTAGCTTCTTTCTGGAGAAAGTGTGTGTGTAATGAGAGAGTGGAATAAATAATCTGAGGTACAATGAAACGGACACAGTAACTCTGTACAGAGACTTCTACAGATTAAAACCTAAAGTTTGAGGATTCCTCCTGGCAGATATGCTATAGACTCTAGCTGTCTGGCAGATTCTGTAAAGAAAAACCTGAATAATTAATGCAAGCTTCCCAGAATAGATGCTGAAAAAACAAAACAGCAGCCAATGGCTAGTGGAAGACAGCCTGAAGTACTTCAGAAGGCATGAAATACTAGTAAGGAGCTCAGGGGACTTCCTTCTTTTCAGCAGCTGGAGGATGGATGGAGAAGATGAGGATATTTATCTTCATCATTACCTGTTGAGGAGGAGTTCCCACAAATGTAAAGATTTTGGATTTTCCCCAAATTAATATTATGGTTGCCATTTCTATCATACAGCAATCTGCTGTTACTTCATCTTGTTCTGTGTAATAATTCAGTAAAATCGGTTATACGCTTATTTGCTTTTGATATGGACATTATTTTGGGGTATCTCCTAATTTCTGAGCTTTAATATGAAATAATAATGAAAGTCTTTGAAAAATAAAAATAGGCAAACAGATTTTTAAGATCATATGCCTGACACTGAAAGGTAATATATTTCAGTTGTGTAGGGTTTTTTTCTTTCCAATTTCCACAACACTTACCGTAATTCATTAAGAAAAGAGTTTAAAAAGCAGGGAGTATAATTAATGTATTGATCTAGTTTTCCATTATGTTGTTATCACAGGTGAAAAATGCGCTTTTGATGGAATTGTTGATTAAAACTACCAAAAGATCCATTATATCTTGCTTACTTTTCCTTACCTAATGAAGCAGATGGATATAAAATGAAGGAATGCCATATTGACCTTTAGTAGAAATATATATGGCATATAACTTGAAACTTGTAAGGTAATTAATATTAATCCGACCTTTTTAGTTTCTGGGCTAGAGTTCTATTAGTGAGAACAGCTACATAGTGTATTGTGTGTTTTCAATGCACAGGTCACAAGCTTGCTAAGAGCAGAACGTGGATCAGCTTGGACTATTCTCAGCATCTCCTAGATTCAGAGCAGGGAGGAGGACCTCCCATACACTCTGGTAGGTCAGGGATGTGCTCTTCTGTGGGCAGGATATTTCAGGGAGGAACGCCAGCCTGCTGGCCAGCATGAGAAACTGCAGAAGCAGTTGAAGCAGGATATTTGATGGCTTCAGCAAGACTGTCCCAGTCCTATGCTAATCACTCCTGAGCAAGGACAGTTAGTACTTGGTCTGCCCACTATCTAACACAGTATTATGGCAATGTTTATTTTA